GCGGGCAGGAAATGGCTGTTTGTTTTTTGGGGGGGGGGGGACAGAATAGGTGCGGTGTGAACAAAGTAACTCATTACTTGTAACCCTTAAATGCATGCAAGTTATTCACCGCCCTCCCACTCATTCATTTTTTAAAGTTAGACATCATTATCATTTTAGTATTCCTTAACCTATTAATTATCAACAATGTAACAAGAAAAAATAAATAAATAAAATGATAAAACGATGCCTGATTTCTCTCTCTCTCTCTTTTTTGGTAAAAAAGCATCCACTGTGAGTATATTGTGCATTAAATTATTACTGATGTTACCATTAATTAAGTGTTGCAAGTATCCCTAATCTGCCCCAAATGTTTTTTTTTGTCTATAAGTTTTGGAAATATGAATAGAAATAAGTATTAATTGTTACGTTCCATGGGTATTTATATAATATTGTTGGATTCTGTGTGCTGTGGTGTGGTGTTTTTCTCTCTCTCTCTCTCTTTCTGTGTTGTCCAGTGTGTTACTTGTGTTACCTGCTGCTCAACCAGGAGAGGGAGGTGATTGCTCGCACCTGCAGCTTGTTACTGTGCAGAGGCTGCAAACTCAAATGTTGTTCAACATGCCTGCCATATTGAAGCTCGTCTTCTAGAGCAGTGTTTCCCAACCGGGGTGCCGTCTGTCGAGAGCAGGGGTGCCGTGTAAAAAATCTTTTTTTAATATTTTTAAATTGCTAAAATTTTCAAAAAAGCATCTATTATATAATATCCATTTCTGATGTCGCCAATAATTATAGATGCACCGAAATTTCGGCTGCCGAAAATGAGTTCACCGCTCAGGATTCACTTTCACGTGGTGTGACGCTCTGCGTATTATACCGCTCTATGCGTGTGCTCTCCGCTCAGTCGCTCCACTCATACCGTTCATGCTCATCGGAACAGCAAAGTCCACTCAAAAATTGAGCCGACAGGAAACATCGATGTAGTACAGTATTGTTTCTGTCTGCAATAGCCCTACTGTGTTGTAACATGGTGTGGTATATGGGCAACTCTGGTAACGCTGCCCTCTCATTCATTGATCTGCTAACCGCTATGTTATGCTTGCCTGTTCTGATAATAATAGCTTTCTAGGACTAAACATTATCTGGATAATTGGTAAATAAAAAAAATAAAAATAAAAAAGTTAAATATCTTAACCCTATTGTTACACCTACCTGAAAAACTAAAAAGCAATTTATTTAATTCGAAGGCCTGTCGTTATTTTTTATTTGTGCTATCATTATTAATTTCTTTATTTGTTCTTATTTTATTATTAACTGCTTAGCCTCCTTGTCATTTTTTATTCAATTCAAAGTTTTAAATCAAGCTATCTCGTGCTACTGCACCAAAATTACCCCACTGTAAAATAAATAAAAAAAACACTGAGTGAGCAAAAATTTGTGAGATAGCTAGTTATAATGGTAATTAAATAATGTTTACATATGTATAAAATCCTACATTAAAATCTGTCATATAAATTGGTCTCTTCAATAGAAATTAGCCTACTGATTGCCACCATTGATAGACAATTTTTTTTTTTATAATATTAAAAATATCTGTATGACATTATATTCTGCAGTTCTTCCCTGTTGTACCGAATATCTATACTTTTCAAATTATCATATCGAAGTTAGAAATTCAAATATTGTGACAAAATTTATTTTGTAGGGTGCCACAAGTTTGTTAAAATTTCCAAAGGGTGCCGCGACTAAAGAAAGGTTGGGAAACACTGTTCTAGAGTGTTGTTCCTCTTGCCTGCCCTGTGTTGCTGTATCACATATATTGGTTTTTTGTTAACTTATTCAAGTTACGGCTTATTGTAGCCTTCTGAATAGGCCATTAGCGTTGTTGTAGGGAGCTGGGTGCCATTTTATTTCTGTGAATCTTTTTTTCTCCTGTTTTTGCTTAGCTAAGGAGTTAGTGTACATTTCTGTTGTTTATTTTCTTTGATTTTGTCAGTTTAGACAGTTTTACTCCCTAACTAGTTAGAGGATCCTTTTGTTTGTTGTTTTGGCCTTTTCCTCCTCCCGAAGTCTATTTTTGCTTCCTATCGTTTTGTCAATTGTTCTTTTGTTAATAAATTATTTGAATTTGGAGTTTAACATGTCTGTCGTGTGGGGCAGGCGACTGGCACACACTCACCCCAACCAATTTTATGTTTACTTTTCTCTGTTACTCCCTTACCCTAGACCCCTACATCTAGGACGTAACATGATACTGCTGTTCCTCATGGTTTCTGTGGGCCTGACTGTCACAGACTGTGCACGAGTTAAGACTTGTTTGTTCTTGACACATCCAGACATGAACCACCACATAGTCATTTAGTCAACATGTTCTGCATTGCGTTATTCTCTGAAATGACCGTCAGTAATGCAGAGAAAATACCAACAGAACCAGCAAAAGCAGTAGCTAATTCGTTTGCCAAACTTTACCTTTACACAAATAAACTATTAAGTGTTTAGTGGTAGTTGGTTGTGGTGAACAAAACATGGTAGCATTATCTAGGCTGGTTGCATATTTCTGATTCACATCTGTGGATTTTAGAGTCATTTAAATTTACAGTCATCCCTCTTCGTTTAGGAGTCACACTTGCCTCCTTCACGCCTTGAAATGTAACTTTTTTTTTGTTGTTGAGGAAAATCAATGTAATATATTTTTGTTCAATAATAATTTTTTAATATTATTTATTATTATTTATGATTTTGAGGGAATTTTATGATACTATGCAATATTTATACAATTTTTATGAGCTATTTTCTCCATTAGAATTCATATTTATTTTTGTATTTCTTTATTTACTATTTTTTAATAAATGCAATATTTCACATTAAAATAGAGTGAAGGTATTTAAAGTCCGTTTTTTGAAGTGAGAATTGTTCCATCTGGAGGCATTAAAAAAGCAAAACTTGTGTAATGTTGCGTAACCTCTTGTATTGCACCCTATATAGATATATACAGAGGCTTTTGGATTCCCGTTGTTTTTTAGACAATTTCTTCATTTTTTTTAGGTTTTGCATTTAGATATATATCTAGACATTCTAAAAGACTACTTTTTGTCAAGGTTTAGATATTTTTGGTTAGATAAGTATCAGGTTTTACATTATGATTACGGTCAAACATTAAAATCTTGTTAGAAAGGGAACACATAGAAAGATTTTTTGTTACTCAGTATTTGATAATTAAAAAATCTAACAAAATAAGGAATGGATAGTGATAATTCAAAACACTTTATACAAACATTTTGTAATTAATTGATATTTTATTCAATGTAGTTCAATAAATGTTAATAAAACTTCAGAACAGAAATGAACATTTTTTTTCCTATTTCCCATTCATTTCCTGTCGGTCATTTTTGACTGCAAAGTCAAGTCAAGTCAAATGTGACTCTTTTTTTTTTTTGACCCTTTAACATATCCGAATCATGTCCATGATTTTTGTGTGTGTTCATATTGCTAATGTGACAAAAGTCACCAAGTATCATCTCATTCCGATGAAGCTAAGATTTTTAAAATGTCAAAATATAAATTGTTTCAGTCAAAAATTTACCGATGAGGGCCAGAGGGTTAAAATTTTATTTTAGATGCAAGTCAAATGATATTTTAGAGCCTCAAGACTTGCATCTGAAATTAAACTGCATAGCCTAAATGTTAATGTAAAAAAATACTGTTTAAAAATATTAAAAAGTTTATGTAATTTTTTGTTTATGTCAGACTTTTTCCACGGACCGACTGTGGGCCGCCAGCAAACATTAATGATAAACCAGCGGCTCGTCAGCGGAGCACTGTCGGAAAAAAGCGGCTGCCACCGGTGGTCCGCCTCTGGCCTGTTGGTCTTATGTTAGCCGGGATCCTTGCTACCTCCTGTATCTGCGACTGTTCAGAATGTTACAATAAATTCCCCCCAAGTTCCCTTACGCAAACGTTGATGATACTGCGAATTAGGAAATCATGATAATGCAGTCAATTTCACCTCCCACTCATTTCCTTCAAGAACGAAAGAATAATGTTACGCATGTATGGTCACCAAAATGAACGAGTCTCACTACTGAAGTGCGAACACGCCAAAAAGTGGGAACTTCCACTACTAATTCTAGGAACTATGAAAAGGTTCCTCTGGTGCGAAAGCTCCTTAAGGAGCCATAGTGAAGGGCGGCGATTAAAGTGACGTGGCGCTAAAGTATGGGGAAGCGATCTTTCACTTCATTGCACATAGAAAACAAAGGCAGACAGATAGAAGCAGATTATGGCAGCAGTCAAAGCATGCAATATCTTGATCACCGGAGCCAACCGGGGCTTGGGCTTAGAAACTGTTAAGCAACTCTCTGAGGATTCTTGTCCAAAACGTCACATTTTTGCTACCTGCCGTGATCCAGATGGACCGAAGTCTGAGGTGAGTTATAAATGACTAACACAAATCGAAACAACAGGAGAAATTATAATTGACCTTGTTTAATGCATATTATCTTTCTTAAGGCATTGAGAGAACTGGTGAAAAAGCATCCAAGTGTGATCACTATGATACGTCTTGGTAAATGTGCATGTGTCCTTCTTTGTGCATTTAAAATTTTAATTCGAAACGATGCAGATGTAATTGATTTATTATTGAGATTGTATTATTGAGACATGAGATTTATTATTGAACTGTAGAACTGCTATTTGTTCTGTTACTGTTAGATGCTGATGATCCATGCAGTATCAAGGAGTCTGCCAAGAAAGTGGGATCTCTACTGGGAAACAGCGGTTTGAACCTGCTTGTGAATAATGCTGGAATCGTGGCAAAGGGCACCATTCAGACCAGCAGTGTTGAGGACATGAAACATACCTTCAGCACCAACGTGATAGGACCCTTATTAATCATTAAGGTAATGTAAAAAGCATTGTTAATAGGAATACTGAAACAACAAAGAGAAAGGAAAAATTTAAATCACATCATATGACCCCTTTAAAAAAAATTGAAACGTTTTGGTGCAATGGCATTCTGGCTAAACATCTAGGCTGGGGCTTACACTATTGTGCCACTGGGACATAAGTTTGTGACTAGACTATTAAAATTAGTGCTTTTGGGGAAGAACTAGTCACTGGATGTCTGCAAGGTTCATGGCATTGTACCAAAATAAAAGCTTAAACCAGCTTAACTGGTTTCTTAATCTGATTGGACCAAAACACTACTGCACTATTGTTTAAATGAGCTACCACTTTGGTAGTTTATTGCGCAGGTTTCCCTGACTAGTCGCCCTGAGTCTGTGTCGACTACTAATGGACCATAACATTGACCTGGCAATCAGTTGCCTACTTTTCTAGATGATTAGTCAGCTAGTAAAAATGATTTGCCGGAATAAGCTACAATATACAACAGACTTCATGCTGACAATAAAAACTCTTCCAAGTCATTTTTAAAGGAATATTTCACCCAAAATTGAAAATTTGCTGAAAATGTATTCACCCTCAAGACAGATGTAGATGAGTTTGTTTCTTTATTTAAACAGTTCTGGAGGAACTGACATCACTTGCTCACCAATGGATCCTCTGCAGTGAATGGGTGCCATCAGAATGAGAATCTAAACAGCTGATAAAAACATCACAATAATACACATGACTCCAGTCCATCAATTCATTTCTTGTGAAGTGAAAAGCTACATGTATGTAAGGAACAAATCCATCATTAAGGCATTATAACTTTAAACCTGCTTCTGGCCAAAATAAACCATAGAAGTCCGTAATCCTTAATAACACTTCTAGTGAAAAAGTTAATCTCCTTTTGTCATCTCACTTCATAATCCATTAACGTATTTGTTTAGAACGGAGTTGGACTGATTTGGACTGCTTGATCTGTGCCTGTTTCTCTCCTGATTCAGACAAGATAACTTTTTCAGTGGAGAAAGCAATATTATGGATAGAGATATATTTTAGTCGGAAGCAATGGTTTGAAGTTAAAAAACAAATGAATAATGGATTTGTTTCTTATAAATACACAGTTTTTCGCTAACTAGTGATGTAATGCTAAATTCCTCCAAATCTGTTAAGATGAAGTAACAATTTCAACTCATCTTGATTGGCCAGAGAGTGAACTATTCCCCTAAAGGTGGGGTAAGCGATTTTTCAAAAACGCTTTAGAAAACTGATTCGGGCCGACTAGCAAAACAAACTTGTAGCCAATCAGCAGTAAGGGGCGTGTCTACTCATGATGTGGAGGAGAGAGCGTTCAGTGGACAGGACGGACATTAGCGAGCTGAGCGACAGAAAGATAGATGGCGGATAAAAAACAAAAGAGGAAAACATCTGCGGAACAAAAGAAGGCATAAGGCAAGAAGGACCCACGGAGCGGAGCTATCAAAATAGGGGCGAGATCCTTTTGGGGTAGGGACGTGGTTGTTTTGGTGATTTCAAATGTCAACATTGGCTACCAGAAATCGCTTACCCCACCTTTAATGCTACATTAATTGAGTATCAAATAAACTTCTAATTCAGAAATATTGTAATTCTTTCTCCTCCTTTTATGCAGGAGTTCCTACCGTATCTACAAACGGCTGCCAAAGCCAGCGGGACACCAGGCATGTCCTGTAATAAAGCAGCTGTCATCAACATCTCCACTGTGGGGGGATCCATCAGCACAATGCCTTCTTTATACGACCAATTCCCAGTGTTGCCATATTGCGTGAGCAAGGTACACGAAAGTCCTGCTTTGGCACTAGTTAAACCGGATCCTATTCATTGCCCATGATGTATTGATGGCATTAGTCAATGTATAACTCAACTGTTATGTTTGCTTATCAGGCAGGTTTTAACATGCTGACTGTGTTAGCTGCTGAGGAGTTAAAGGCAGATGAGATCCTCTGCATGGCCCTTCATCCAGGATGGGTGAAGACTGAACTGGGTGGAGAAAAAGTGAGTGTTGATGTATTAGTCAGTTTTGTTTTATTTTGAGCACAAATGTGGGAAACATGTCAAAATTATTTTCAAATTGAGCTTACAAATGCTGAATTTTTGAAGTCTCTGAAACGTTTTAGTGCCAACAACAGTTAAAAGTTTCATGTATGATGTCCAAAAAAAATGTGACGTTGTGTAAATGTAAAAAAAAAAAAAGCAGAATGCAATGATTTGCAAACCGCATAAACCCATATTTTATTCAAAATATAACATAGAGAACCTGTCAAATGTTTAAACTGAGGAAATAAGGTAATTTTGAATTTGGTGGCCGTAACACGTCTCAAAAAATTGGGACGGGTGCACTAAAAGGCTGGAAAAGTAAGTATTACTAAAAGGAAACAGCAGGATGAATGTTTTGCAGCTGATTAGGTTAATTGGCAACAGGTCAGTAACATGATTGGGTATAAAAAAGACTATCTTAGAGATTGGCAGAGGTTCACCAATCTGCGAAAACTACTTCTACAAATTGAAGAACAATTTCAGAATAATGTTCCTCAATGTAAAATTGTGAAGACTTTGAATATCTCATTGTCTACAGTACATAATATCATCAAAAGATTCTGGTAAAATCTCTGTGTGCAAGGGAAAAAGGTGAAAATCATTATTGGATGTCGTGATCTTCGGGCCCTCAGGTGGCACTGCTTTAAAACCGGGCATGATTCTGTAATGGAAATCACTGCATGGGCTCAAACACACTTCCAGAAATCATTATCAGTGAACACAGTTTGCCATGCCATCCACAAATCCAGGTTAAAGCTCTGTCATGCCAAAAATAAGTCATATGAACATGATTCAAAATAAAAAAATTTTAGAAGCCATGGATGCCGCATCCTGCAGAACATAGAGGAGAGAGACCAGCTTGTTATCAGCACTCCGTTCAAAACCTTTCATCTCTGATGGTATGGGGGTGCATTAGTTCCTATGAGATGTGCAGCTTGCACATTTGGAAAGGCACCATCAATGCTGAAAAGTATATATACAGGTTTTAGAGCAACATATGCTTCCATCCAGATAAAGTCTTTTTTTAGGGAAGGCCTTGCAAGACAATGCTAAACCACATGCTTCCTCTATTACAACAGCATGGCTTCATATTAGAAGAGTCCTGCCTGCAGTCCAGACCTGCCACCAAATGAAAACATTTGGCACATCATGAAATAAAAAATATGACAAAAAAAGGAGTGTTGAGCAGCTAGAATCGTCAGACATGAACATTCCTCTCCCAAAACTCCAGCAACTGGTCTGCTCATTCCTAGATATACGGACTGTTGTCAAAAGAACAGCGGATGTGGTAAACATGGCCCTGTCCCAACTTTTCTGAGAAGTGTTGCGGCCATCAAATTCAAATGACCTTATTTTTTCCTTAAAATGGTACATTTTCACAGTTTAAACATTTGAAACATTTCAAACATGCTTTCTGTGTTCTATTGTGAATAAAATATGGACTTATGAGATTTGCAAATCATTGCATTCTATTTTTATTGAAATTTTACACAGTGCCTTAACTTTCTTGGAATTGGGGTTGTAGCTATTAACCAGATTATGATTCTATTAACCATGATTAAGCTATTAACCTTTTGAACAAGCGGTTTTCCTCTGATTCCGTTGAGTCATGCTGATTTTAATGCACCTGGTGCTTTCGGTTTCCACCATTTTGAATTCTGTCAAAATGCTTCTGCTATATTGTTTTTACTTTGCATGTTAGTGAACTAGATAGATGGTTTTATTTTCACTAGGCACCACTTGAACCAAAGGAAAGTGTGGAGGGGATGCTGCGTGTCATTGGCAGCCTTCCTGAGCAGCAGCACGGTGGATTTATGGACTACACTGGAAACACAATTCCCTGGTGAACCAGAAGAACAAAAGCACTCCTATACGAGAGGTCACAAAAGGGCCGATCCAGGTCCAAACCGCCCTGTTTAGTCTATTAAGCATAAAAGGGCACACTTAATCATAAGCACTTAAGCCCACAAGTTTATGACACACTTAATAACTTTGTATCAAATATAATTTCATACAATAAAACAATTAATGAAGCAATAAAGCAGTAATGTCTTTTCTATATTATATGTTGCAAATACTTTGCTTATCAGTTACACACACATAAAAATTATTTATAGGGTGGCACTCTGAGGGGTGGTTCAGGCTGCAGGATTGCTGAATGACTAAAGAAACATTGTCAGCATGATGGTGCAAAACTGTACATTTCTTGCCTATTACCTCCCTTCTACTGAAAAGGTTTAATAACAGTGATGACTTATGGTTACACTTGAGATGGTTACAAAATAGATGTATGAGATGAAAAAACGTATGCTATTCATCATATTAGCATGTATGTAGGATGTTATCTGAGTGAGAGAGAAAGACAGAGAGAACACCAAAGCAAGCATCCACACATAGTTCTTGTGAATTTATGGCCTGACATACACATTTGTGTCTTGTGAATATGCAGTTGCAATTCCTTAGAGGGACCACAAAGTAGTTATCTTACCTTTTAAAAATAATTGAGAATAAATAAGAAATGGCCTAGTTGAAAACATGTGGAGTGATGGCTTAAACAGAAGAATACTGATTAAAAACCTTAAGCCCATGTCTTGAAAGATTTGTACATAATCACTAAAAATTTCTCAATTCTCTCGATTCTAGATCTACTGATCCCACTACTCACACCTTGACTATTGTATTTAAAGAATAATGATAAGCATGTCTGACTTGAAGTAAAATATGATATATATATTAGCTTTCTGAAAAGCCTGAGTAAGCAGCTTTGGCATTCTACTAAAAATCTCCCTGGGTGTTCCCTAGAAAGTATGCTAAAAATCATAAGGTTGAGGATAAATGTCATTTCAGCTACTAGGTGTTGTGCAATTTTTTGTACACCAGGTAAAAAAGTTTTGAAAATACCTTACTCATTTCTTTTGTTTTCTGCCTTCCTTTCACAGAGACTGTAGCGTAATTTGACTGGGCTGCCACTGTTTATTACAGTTGCAAATAATTAACGAGCAGTCACTTTAATCTTAGCTTGTTTTTTTTTATTCACTATCTCTCTGACTATTCATGTAATTTATCTTTTCCTCATAACCTCAATAGCATATACAGTATGTAGCGTCTGGACCAATCAGACACACCATTTGTCATTTGATTTAACAAATCAATTATTCATTAGATTAACAAACATTCACAGACCCCTCACCCAATAAACATACTGGGTGCCAAAATGTC